CCTTAATATTAATATTTGATGAAATATTAAATTCTTTGTACGCGCATTTACATTTGTGTAAGCAATGATTCGGCGACGGCAGGAGAATTCAGTGGTTAAGATCGGAATATCAGTAAAATATTTCTTAAACACCATTCCAAAGTCCTGATCTAATTTAGTTAATTTGTTGTTAAAACTCAACTGATGCTAGTTTGAATTGCGATAGTTGACCTTACCAGTTTCACTGTTAATTATACTCCATGTCATTTTAATTTTATTACAAGTCGTCTTAATTTTGTCGCTCAAATGCAAAGACTTGGCTGTGGAGCAAACTGTTTTAAATATTTTTGAATATTTATTATAATATATTCCCTAAATTTGACGCTAGGATTTCACGGTAAAAATCATATAACTTTTGTCTCCTGTTATGGACTCCTACTGTCGCCCATTCATTGAATGCCTTACGACTATTCAAGGAGAACGTTTTAGAAGTAAAAGTATTACCAAATTAATCGAAAATAAGCTTAAACAATGTTCCATACAATAAATTAGGATCATTTTGGTGTGAAAGTGATGGAAGTTTCTTCACTATGCTACTTCTAAACTTCTCCAAGCGACGTGCATTTACTGGAACATACACAATTTTCTCATCTAATGGCTTTTTGTGAACATAAGGTAACGAAACTAAGTGTCCACAGTGATCAGTACTCAATTTTTGATTTATGTATGTATGCAACGGCTTAACATTTGTAAAATTTTACCTATACATGTTGCACTAGATTCCGCAATACGCGTTGGCTTTAAAAATATATTAAAAAGACCATATGATTTAAACAATGATCTAAATTTAGTATTGGCGGAGGAACCTTTTAAGAGATTGATATTAAAGTCTCCACATATTACAACAGATTTATTCTGTTTATTAAGCTTAACAAAAACTTCCTCTATAAGTTTTACAATAGTATCACACATAGTGCTCGAACTCAACGCATGCCATTTTTATAGACCACTGCTGGTAAGTTGAAGTGTTTGTGTTAAGGGTGGTTAACGACAGTAGTCAAATGGCGGATTCGAACCCACAAACTTTTGAGTTTACGGTGCCCACTCTACCATTAAGCTACTATCCCTTACTACACTGTATTCTATGTCATTCCCTCACAGGCTAAATCCTATATAATAATGGTAATCACTTTTATTTCCATAAACTGTACAATTAATTCAAACAATGTCTTAATTTAAAATAGTCTACAATAACAGGAACCTGAATAAACCCGTATCAGGTGTATGTACACTAACAATTATTTTCTGTTTTTATATAAAATGAATAACGTACTAATTAGGGTTAATTTCGGTAAAATATTACCATTAATTAAACTATGATAGCAACTTTTCCGTATCATCGTTTGGCAAATTTTGTAACCATTATGTCTTTGGTAACCATGTTCGAATTACATTTTTCTGCCATTTTAATGGACATACTCGTATGTACAAAATTGCATTGATTTGATTGTACAGAAAAGGGCCAAAGAATGTAAAAAATCTATGCATGAAAGAATGCCATAATCTAATGTCAGTTTCGCTTACTTCATCTTTTATCAGTGACTTGTGAGCGCCAAATACATGAGGATATGACAATGAGATGCGCGAGTATACTGCGCAGAGGAAAACCATAACGGCTTCACTTTTTCTTAACACTTGATTTTATTACCCATCTATTTTTCATATCGTGCGCTATATGTAAATGAAACGATTCTTTAGGAATAAACTCCAAAACTTGATTTCTTATAACGGACATAATCTGTACCTAGAATATTAATGGTAGTATCGTAATATACAATTGTTGTTTGTACAAGAAATTAACAAAATATAATCAAATTTTTAAAAAAGTTACCTTGCGTACATCCGCTCGATAAAATAAAATGATGTGTCTTACCTAGTTTGAAGAGCACGTCCTGCCCTCCCTCAATTGCGTGCACTATCCTTGCACATAAAGGAATATGTTAGGACTGTATCTGAATGACATGGTAAGAAATTGTGGGATGAGAGAAAAGTATGATTTGCAAGATGATGTTGTGAATTATAAGATAACATGATTAAGAAAGGAATGCTACAGTTGTTGGTCATGTGGAAAGAATGAACGAGGAAAGAGTGTAATAATGCAATTCTAGATATCATAAGGGAACGGCAGAGTCGGGAAAGGACGCTCTAGACCTAGACGAAAGTTTATTATAGGGATAATTGGCGATATATTGAAGATGGTCCAGATTAACGAGTACCCTTAACCGACGAGCATGTATGCGTAGGTGTATGGATGTAAAAGAGGCGAGAGACATGTGTCAGGATCGTGCTAAATGGATGACGGTGCGGTCGTCGTGGAACCAAAGAACCACTCTTCATTGACGTGGTCATTGGCAAAGTGGTTAAACGCAACCGTCGGAACTTCTCCGCCGCCTGCATAGACTACAGTAAAGCATTCGACTCGGTCCCCATACCTGGCTAAAGGGGGTGCTCTGGCTGTACAAGGTTGACTGTGCAGCTAGAGAATCCTCGTGCAGTGTATGGGGCAGTGGAGTATGATCGTTTGACATCTAGGTGAGTGGCTGATCGCTGCGGAAAGCCACATAAGGATAAGAAGAGGTACCTTCCAGAGCGATTGTATGAGTCCAATCTGGTTCTGCCTCTCTCTGAACCCTCACAATACCTTATTCCAGGGATCAGGGAGGATGAGAAGAAAACCAAATGGATGTCTGTAGTCTTTGCTTACCCTCTGGGTGACAGGCGTGAGTGTTTATGTGTGTATGTATGTATGTACTTATTATAAGCTTTGACTACAATTCCACCTGGTGGTGATTGGTGACGAAACCCTAAATGGTAAATCGCACTGTCACAGCGATGTCGTTGATCAAAAAAACTTGTTGTAATAAAAATCAATATGTATTCCAGTAAAGTTCTACTTTTAGAGTAAATTATGACTTAAAATGCTATTTTAAGATAATTGACAGTATCTTAAAATAGTATCAGCTTCATTTCACCATAAAAATATTCATGAATTATAAGGAGATCATTACAGTCTTTTTTCCGAATTCTATTCTTTCTAAAAGGACTTACTGAAAGTGCTCAAGATTTTTTAATCCACCCATACTCAATGCTCAGTAAATGACAAAGTCAGTAAAAAAAGTATGTAAAGTAAGTGATGTGACATTTTTTTAAATATGAGTGACTTTTTACATTTAGTATCACTAAGTAAAATATAGGTAGGGATAGGGTGTGAAGAAGGCATTTTCTACTTTATTAAGGTCTTATAATATAAAAAAAAGATTTATACATAAATACATATAATTGAAGTGTCTGTCTGTAACATTGAAATAACTTTCTTATATTGAACTGAGTGGGGGTTTTACATGCAATCAAGAATAAATAACTATTTTTAATTTTTTTGTGTGTCTGGGCTAATCTTTGAAATGACTGATCCGATTTTGATTTAACTACCCGCATTGATAAAGAGCAATGCCAGGCTATAATTTATAAACTTCAAAACATGGAGATTTTTTTGAGAAATCAAAAAAAAATATGAAATAAATGATCTTTAACGATTACTGAAATATAAAGCCGGGAGAGTAGTTAGTTTTAAATAAAGGACAATAAAGAAACCCGGTTTTATCATCGTTTAAATTCCGCACCTTTGCACACAATAGTATTTCAAGTAGATGCCGGCTAAACAGTAATGAGCAATAATGTATTATGAGCACGGTATTTAAGAGCATTGGATGAATTTAGATGCGTTAGTGAGGGCTAGTGGACATTCTGAACCCTGAAACCTATTATAAGAATAAAACTTTCTAGGTCCCATAGTGATAAGTAGTAACACAATTACAATGAATTGTGAAATGAGAAATGTAAAAACTCCTCGATTACATTGTCAAACATAAACTAATTTTGGAAGAAACTTTTTTTGTTTTACAGAAGAGGGCCATTAGAGCTATTTACAATCTAAAACCGAGAGAGTCTCTTAGAGATAAATTTAAAGAAATAAATATATTAACTTTGGCATCTCAGTATATTTACGAAAATTTAATGTATGTTCACAAAAACAAAGATAGTTTTAGTAAAAAAAGTTATATACATTCTGTAAACACTAGGAACAAAAACAAGCTGGTGATGCCAGTTTCTCGACTCCACAGAGTCAGTAATTCATTCTTAGGGCAATGTATACGCTATTACAACAACGTCCCGGAAAGTGTACAGGGTCTCTCTATTACCAAGTTTAAATGTTTTATTAAGCTGAAACTGTATAAAAAGGGTTATTATAGTATAAATGAATACATGGTTGATAATAACCCCTGGGTATGAGGTGGTTGCTTCCAAGCAGTTTCTAAAATAAATTTTGTAAATAGTTCGTCATCATTTATATTGTAAAATTTATTTAAGAAAAAAAGTCACGCTGGATTTCTTGCTGGTTCTTCCCAGGAGGGTTCTTTTTTCAAATCAGTGGTAAAGTAAAAAATGACTTTCAATACGAATTACACATGTAATGTATATTGAATAAAAATTATTCTATTCTATTCTATTCTATAATCTGCGTGTAGTAAGTCTGTATTTGACTCTACATTACGTAAGAAGACAATATGATTGTTATATGTATATAGATATCGTTTTACTAGATGCCTGGCGTTACAAGCACCCGGGATTGGACTTGGCCAACTGACTAAACTCACTAACAAGAATTGTCCGCTGACGCAAATGTACTACAATATCGTCTATCAATACGAAGTGGGCAAGTACGCCTAAGGGACCTAAGCAAAAGGTTTAGTAATGAAGTTTAAACATTAGAAGATTGCTAGATTTCATACAAATCAGTTGTTCAGGTAAAAGGACAGTGATTATATTAGCAAAATATTCGCATCGTTTGAAATTCGCTCCGCGCGTGTTACATTTTTTCGTATTATTTATAGAAAGTCTGCGGGCGGGAGTCGGCGCGCGCACACGGTGTGGTGCGCGCGGGTCGAGAGGACTGGAGTCCCATGGAGCCCCCATCGTTCCCTGTTAGCGGCCTCCAGACTTTCAGGGCAGCCCCCGGTAGTGACGCCAACCTTATACTTCCGTTGCCCAATGGCACACCACCCTTCCACTTCGAATGGTACGTTCTATTTGTAGTTTAATTTTCCCTATTGTCGTAAATTTTTAGTCAAATGTTCTGGTGTTTGTATTGTAATTAGACGATATCCGTTTAATTTGCCAGCCTTTTTAAATATTTTTTTATGTATTAGTTCCTGAATATCCTTTAAGCAAGTTACGAAATGAACGATTTTAAAACGTAATGTGTAGTCTATTAAGTGCATAGTGATTCAAGCATTCTGATTCAGTGCGTTCGCGTCGCGCCGGTAAGCGTTGTTTATTTTTCATATGTCGAAGTGTATAAATACAGACCAGGAAACAGGTCACCACAGACACTTGACACTCCGTTTGTAAAGCAAAGGTAAAGTCATTAGCTCATAAGACCGAAGTAATTTCACGTTCACGATGGTAAATGGTAATCTAATCTGTAACCGGCAACATATTACGCTGCCTAATTAAAAATAAAGTTTGACCAAGTGTGAGTCCGTTATATTATATTTCATGAATTTAAACGAAATTACAATATTTCATAAAGCTGATCATGGTGTAGGTACATTGATATTGTTTTTTGTACGTTGATTTCCTAAATAACATAAAGATAAATAACATAAAGATAAATAACAATAAAGAAAAATAGCATAACTTTCTGACATATTTTCTTAAAACGTTTTAATTAATATTAAACTAGGTGTTCGCCGCAACTTCGCCCGCGTGGAATTTATTACGATTGGATGTCATGAGTTTTAATTTATTTGTGCGGAACCCTAATTATTTTTCTAAAATAAAAGTAGCCTAAGTTACTCCTTATAACATCAGCTATCTGCCAGTGAAATTCCCGTCAAAAACGGTTTAGCCGTTTCGGAGATTAGCCGGAACAAACTGACAGGCAGACAGACAAAAAATTTAAAAATCATTTTTTGTTATTAGTATCGCATATACTTTCATATGCATTTAGTATAAAGCTCTCATTTTGATATTAGAAATAGACACTTCAATTTTATTTATTTTTATAGATTTTTCATAAAGCCGAACATGGCGTACATTGTTTTTATGTTTTTGTGCGTTGATTTCCTAAATAACATAAAGATAAAATAACAAGAAAAATAACATAACTTTCTTGCATACTTTCTTAAATCGTTTTAATTTACATTAAATTACTCTGTTGCTTCAACTGTTTTCTGAAATCGGTCGATTTAATAATCGACGAAACTACTTAATTATAGTTAGATAATTAATTTAGTTTACTTAAACTGTTTCAAAAAAATTACTTGGAAATTACATGGGAAACAATATTTTCTATTCAGTTTAACCTCAATATCCTAATCTGGAATCTGGTGATTATGTAAATAACATTTGGCAACTGTTGTGGCATGAGTAAAATTCTAATAAAAATGTACACTAGTTCAGTAATTTACAGAAGTAAAGTCACTCATTTTAAAGTGTTTTACGTAATGGTAATCCTCCAATTATTATATATCTCTCTAATGATTATATTCTACTTTCCTCTTACTTAAAATAAGTTTGAGGTTATCAAGAATAAGAACCTTCCTAAAGAAAGAAAACTCCAATATAATGATAAATGATTAAATACAACTATGAAAGTATTTTCAAGTGATATTTTTCCACTAAATATTCCCGTGATCTAAACCCTCCTAAAGTAAACGACTTGGTTATTATACTCTAATTTCTTAAAACATAAATTGGTTACTAGTACGCACGTATGCATGTATGTAGGTACTTCAATATTTAAATTTCAATTTGGTCACAGTCTTTTTTAATCAGGATAAGTTAAAAATATTTAACTCCCTTGGTTTTGTTTCACTAGGCCGCTGATCACCCTAGCCTTTTTATAAATAACTACCTGTCCCCGCGACTTCGCTCGCGTGCTAGGGTTTTTATGTTTTTGCGCGGAACCCTAATTCTTTTTCTAAAATAAAAGTAGCCTAAGTTACTCCTTATGAAATCAGCTACCTGCCAGTGAAAGTCCCGTCAAAATCGGTCCAGCCGTTTCGGAGATTAGCCGGAACAAACAGACAGACAGACAGACAAAAAATTTAAAAATTGTGTTTTTGTTATAAGTACCGTATATACTTTCATATGCATTTAGTAAAAAGCTGTAATTTTGACATTACAAACAGACACTTCAATTTTATTTATTTGTATAGAGAAGTTGTTCTTTGTTTTGGTATTTACTACAGATACAACGCATTATGATCATTGAATAAATGGGCGGTACTTGTGTAATGTACGTTTTTTTGGCACAATTGATAAAAACATCTTTAGTGATTTCACTGTTCTTGATAACTTGGAATCAAAGACAGGGTAATCAAAATTTTACATTCCATTAATAACATGGAAAGATTGAGAAAGATATGCAAGCCTAAGATTTTCAAGTGTGACAACCGATATATTACAGACTATGTACGTCACTCAGCTGGGCATAGGCCTCCGCTAATTTCTGAGAAGGTAAACCCTAGGAAGGCTAGGAACTGTTCACCGCGCTGACTAATGCGTTTTGGCTGACTTCAAATTCCTTTATTTTTTTTTAAATCCCCGACGCGTGGGATTTCTCACGATATTTTTTTCTTGAGCTCATGGTAAATCAGTAGTTTAAACTTGCAATTAATAATTCCAGTGCTAGCTACTATGCTGTATATTTACCCGTATTTTTATTTACACTAAAACTTATTACTCTATTGGTCTCTCCTTATCTACATATAAATATATAATACTAAATGAACTAGACCGTTCAGTAGCGGTGTAAAAATATTCACTACACCATAATAATCGTCCCGTGGCTGTCGTGAGCGGAGATTGAGGGAAACAAACCAGGAATCGGGCAGCAGCATCTTCCTAATAACAACTTTTTTTTATAGGATAGGGTGAAACGAGCACACAGTCCACCTGATGGTAAGTGGTTGCTGTGGCCCACAGACATCTACATCTATCCTCGTTTGCGAATCAAAACGCAGATGCGTTGTCACCCGTGAGGACTAAGATGGAAAGCCTCTTTTCCAGTAAAAAGGGTCTCCGGATCTCTACGAAAAAATACGAAACACAGCAGTGTTAAGTTGCCAATTTACGCTGATATTCTGTGAGAGCGTGGTCCTTCCCCGGTCGAGCCGACCCATTCGTGCTACTACTATACTACTAATATAGCCGCATCATGGCTCTACCATATAAGCCATGCCATATAAACTACAAAATAAAAACAATAACTTTGGTTGCCAACCGTCTGCCAAGCATGACAATTGTGGCATACATCCCTATCAGAAGGCCTGTGCAGTGACCTTTCATTAGCTGTATGTATATGAACAAATTTTACGAGCTTGACAAAAATAATATTAGAATTTTATTTATTTTAGATCGTGAATAAGCTTGTTAGAAAAAAAAAGCGGATGGAGGAAAAAACGTTCAAGGTCCGCTACTAATGACTTATATATTGACTTTCATGGTAGTTCAGTTGGCAGCTTCTGTACTAACATCCCTTCAATAAAATATGATGATAAAATAACATACTTATAAATGCTTTATATAATAATCAAATGCTGTCCGTTAGTCTCGTTAAAACTCGAAACGAGCTCGACCGGTTCCGATGAGAAATTTTTTTGTGTGTTTGACTTTGTTCCTGGATGGTATACATTCACAATTGGACCCGGCGGTTGCGGGAGCTGTTGTCGAGATCCAAAAATCACCCATGCGATGCCAAGGCAGATCGCTAGTTTAAAATAATTAGCCATAATTTTAACTTGTGAAAGACTTGCTTCCAAGACGTTATAAATATACTAGCTGACCAGGCAGACGTTGTTCTGCCCTTTCCGACGACCATTTGATTTCCTAAAAAAAATTCCTGAGATTAGCAATAAAAAAATTGAGGGTCACTTATCGGAATAAAAACTATCCTATTTCTCAAGTTGGACTAAACTGCACACAGTGCAAAATTTCATTGAAATCAGTTCGCGGACAAACAACGTGACACGTAATTTTTATATTATATACACATTAAATCAAATATTCCCTTGAGAATTGGGTGCTTTTTTGTGGTAAATGGTCTTTCCTCAGCATGTAGTCAGCCTTATCTTGTCGCCTGATGAAATCTGTTCAGCAGGGGTAAAAAGGTAACAGACTGTCAGACAGACTAACTTTTTCCGCAATTATATTATTAGTAAGTCTATAGATTGGTATAGATATAGTTTATTAAATATTCAATAATATAATAATTCATTATTATTAACTATTTCAGTTATGGTCTGTAGTAACTATTTTTTTTCGACCGTCGCGTCGCCCATCAAATGTGCTACGGTCTGGCAGGTGCGTTGTCGGCCTTTTAAAAAGGAATAAGCTCGTTTCTTGAAGGTATTGTGAATCTAGGAAATAACCTAGGAAATCGCACAGTCATGGTGGACCACCAAGCATCCAGATGTTATTGATGATACCGTGAGTTTTATCCCGATGGTAGAATTTGGCGACTGAAATTAATCCGGAAAATTCCACCAAGGCGCCCTGGCCCATAGATGAGAACACACCCTACAAAAGTAATAAAATTAATTTTGCCAGGGGTTGTGCAAATGATGCCAAATGGTAAGTGACTACCGACGCCCATGAACAACTGCAACACCAGGCGAATTGCCGGTGTGTTTAGGCTCTTTTCTTGAAGGTCCCCTAAGTCGATTCCACAAGAAAGTACTGAGAGGAAGAAAATTTCTTGTAAATTGCACAGTGGTGGACCGCCAATCGTCCAGATGGTGTGGATGGTATTTATTATATGTGTAACATTGTGCATAAATTACATATTAGATAATATTATTAGATATTTATTTAATATACTTTTGAGAAATAAAATGTCTTTTAAATTTAATGTAACAGGATTTTTGTAAAGTTAAGTTAAAGTAAGATTTGTGGGCATAAAGCACTACATCACGCTTTTGAGTCTGAAACTACGTTCCCAATTTGCCTGGTATCTCAGAGTGAAACGGTAAACAAATTGCGGCGCTGGCGTCGTCGCTTCTACAAAAATATCTC